TTATTCGTCAAGAAGAAGGATGGGTCGATGCGGATGTGTATAGATTACCGGCAATTGAACAAGGTAACAATTAAGAATAAGTATCCACTGCCGAGGATTGATGTTTTGTTCGACCAGCTTCAGGGTGCCAGGGTATTTTCCAAGATTGACTTGAGATCTGGCTACCACCAGTTGAGGATTAGGGCATCCGATGTCCCTAAGATAGCTTTTCGTACTCGGTACGGGCATTACGAGTTCTTGGTCATGTCGTTTGGGTTGACCAACGCCCCAGCAGCATTTATGGAGTTGATGAACCGAGTGTTCAGGCCATATTTGGACATGTTCGTGATAGTCTTTATTGATGATATTTTGGTGTACTCCCGCAGCCGGGAGGAGCACGAGCAGCACCTTAGAGTGGTTCTTCAGACTCTAAGGGATAGCCAGTTATATGCCAAGTTCTCCAAGTGTGAGTTCCGGCTGAGTTCAGTAGCATTTTTGGGTCACGTTGTATCAGCTGAGGGTATTCAGGTGGATCCGAAGAAGATAGAGGCAGTCAAGAACTGGCCTAGACCAGCATCAGCTATGGAGATTCGAAGTTTCTTGGGGTTAGCAGGCTACTACCGTCGGTTTGTGGAGGGGTTTTCATCTATTGCAGCCCCGATGACTAGGTTGACCCAGAAGGGTGCCCAGTTCAGATGGTCGGAGGAGTGTGAGGCGAGCTTTCAGAAGCTCAAGACAGCCCTGACTACGGCACCGGTGTTGGTCTTGCCCACAGGATCTGGGCCTTATACCGTCTATTGTGATGCTTCCCGTATTGGACTTGGTGCAGTATTGATGCAGGATGGCAAGGTTATAGCCTATGCTTCGAGGCAGTTGAAGGTTCATGAGAAAAACTATCCAGTGCATGATTTAGAGTTGGCGGCTATTGTCCACGCCTTGAAGATTTGGAGGCACTATTTGTATGGCGTGACATGTGAGGTGTTCACAGACCACAAGAGTCTTCAATACTTGTTCAAGCAGAAGGAGTTGAATTTGAGAAAGAGGAGATAGTTGGAGTTGTTGAAGGATTATGATGTCACTACTTTATATCATCCTGGGAAGGCCAATGTGGTGGCCGACGCTTTGAGTAGGAAGTCAGCCAGCATGGGCAGTCTTGCTTATATTCCAGTCAGTCAGAGGCCGCTTGCCTTGGATGTTCAGGCTTTAGCCAATCAGTTCGTGAGACTGGATGTTTCTGAGCCCAATCGTGTGTTAGCTTGCACAGTTGCTCGTTCTTCGTTATTGGAGCGTATTTGTGATCGGCAGTTTGATGATCCCCATTTATGTGTCCTTAGAGACACGGTGCAGCGAGGAGGTGCCAAGCAGGTTACCTTAGGTGATGATGGTGTTTTAAGATTGCAGGGGCGAGTTTGTGTGCCCAATGTCGATGGGATTCGAGAGTTGATCTTAGCGGAGGCCCACAGCTCCAGGTACTCTATTCACCCGGGCGCCGCGAAGACGTATCAGGACTTGCGGCAGCATTATTGGTGGCGTAGGATGAAGAAGGATATCGTAGCATATGTGGCTCATTGTTTGAATTATCAGCAGGTTAAGTACGAGCATCCGAGGCCTGGTGGTTTACGTCAGAGGATTGAGCTTCCCGAGTGGAAATGGGAGCGGATTACTATGGACTTTGTTACTGGACTTCCTTTGTCCCGGAAGAAGTTTGATGCGATATGGGTTATTGTTGATAGGCTGACCAAGTCAGCGCACTTCATTCCCGTGGCAGTCTCCTATTCTTCTGAGAGGTTCGCTGAGATCTATATTCGGGAGGTTGTTCGCCTTCATGGTGTGCCCGTGTCTATCATTTCGGATCGAGGTACGCAGTTTACCTCACGCTTCTGGAGAGCGGTTCAGCGAGAGTTGGGCACAAGGGTAGACTTGAGCACAGCATTTCATCCCCAGACGGACGGTCAGTCCGAGCGGAGTATTCAGATTTTGGAGGATATGCTCCGAGCTTGTGTTATTGATTTTGGAGGTTCGTGGGATCAGTTCTTGCCTTTGGCGGAGTTTTCTTACAACACTAGCTACCAGTCGAGCATCCAGATGGCTCCTTATGAGGCTTTATATGGTAGGCGATGTCGGTCTCCGGTTGGATGGTTTGAGCCGGGAGAGGCTCGGTTGATAGGTACGGATTTGGTTCAGGAGGCCTTGGACAAGGTCAAGATCATTCAGGAGAGGCTTCGTTCAGCACAGTCTAGGCAGAAGAGTTATGCAGACCGTAAGGTTCGAGATGTAGCTTTCATGGTTGGTGAGCGGGTATTGCTCCGAGTGTCGCCTATAAAGGGCGTGATGAGATTTGGGAAGAAGGGCAAGCTTAGCCCTAGGTACATTGGCCCGTTTGAGATTCTTGACCGAATGGGAGAGGTGGCTTATAGACTTGCGTTGCCACCCAGCTTATCAGCCGTGCATCCAGTTTTCCATGTATCCATGCTTCGGAGGTATCATGGCGATCCTGCCCACGTGTTAGATTTCAGTTCTGTCCAGTTGGACAAGGACTTATCCTACTGGACAAGGACTTATCCTATGAGGAGGAGCCGGTAGCTATTCTGGACCGGCAGATTCGTCAGTTGAGATCCAAGAGTTTTCCTTCTGTTCGTGTTCAGTGGAGAGGTCAGCCTCCTGAGGCATCGACCTGGGAGTCCGAGTTCGACATGCGGAGCCGTTATCCCCACCTTTTCCCCAACTCAGGTACTCTTTTCTTTTGTCCGTTCGAGGACGAACGGTTATTTTAGAGGTGGAGAATGTGACGACCCAAAGGGTCATCACCTGTATTCCTACTCCCTTTGTACTTCTGAGGCCGCGAAAAACCTCATTTGGGGTTGCCTCGAGTTTGTGTGGGCAGTCCGGGCGCGAAGCTGGAACGTTTAAATATGAATTTGTGAGAAAAAAATAATAAATTTGATGTTTAAATTGATTGGGTTTGACTTTGGTTAACATTTTGGGCAAACGGACCCGGACTCACGATTCGACAGTCCCGGAGGGTCCGTAGGAAATTTTTGGACTTGGGTGTGTGCCCGGAATCAAATTCCGAGGTCCCAAGTCCGAGAAATGAATTTTTGAGTGAAATTGTTTTCTGAAAATGAATTTTTGAGTGAAATTATTTTCAGAAAATAATTTCACGTAAAAATTCATTCCTCGGACTCGGGACCTCGGAATTTGATTCCGGGCACACCCCCAAGTCTCGTATTTTCCTACGGACCCTCCGGGACTGTCAAATCACGAGGCCGGGTCCGTCTGCCCAAAACGTTGACCGAAGTCAAACTTAATCAATTAAAACATCAAAATTTTATTATTTTTCTCACAAATTCATATTTAAACGTTCCGGCTACGCGCCCGGACTGCACACACAAACTCGAGGCAACCCCCAAGTGAGGTTTCCACATCCTCAGAAATACAGAGTGAGTAGGAATACAGGTGATGACCCCTTTGGGTCGTCACAATACTCAGAGTGGTATATATATATATATATATATATATATATATATATATATATATATATATATATATATATATATATATATATATATATATATATATATTATATATATATATATATATATATATATATACCTTCAATAATTGAGGAATAATAAACATAAACTATACATAATAACATGGAAAACTATAAAACGATGGGTAATATCCAGAAACATAATTTAGATTAAAATAAGTAACTTACATGTTTACAGGAGAGAAGATTTCCCTTTCGGGAAACCCAAAAAGTTTACTGGACTTGGGAATTAATATCTGGCACACACAAGCATAATGATTTATTTATTTTACAAACTCGAGGTAGAAACTACTAAGGCATACATAAGGAATATTTTACAAGGTATATTACAAGATGTTTGAGGATGGTGGGGATGAAGAGAGTATTTTGGTGCTTCGCTTTTCTTTGAGAGTGTTCTTTCTCTTGTAGTTGTGTCTTCTCTTCTTCTCTCTTTTATTAAATATTAAATATTATATTATATATATATATATATATATATATATATTATATATATATAATATTATATATATATATAAAACTAAAACAGAATACAATTTACATACAATTAAACTACAATTTTACTACAATTTCGTAAGCATATTGTATATACTTACGAAATTCAATCTGAAATTCAGCCAAAACCAAGTCTAATCTGCACCATACACCCTCAAAATTGAGAAATAAACTCCAAACAATATTCCCAATTACTTGCAACAACACCCAATCCAAACAAATAATGGTTTTTGAAAATTCAAATTCGAATTCAAAATTTTATGATAGATTAGTGTTCGAATCTTTAATTCCTACGACCTGGAGGTTACTTCAATAGGTTGATTGGCAGAAGACAACTTTTAAGACTTATCTTATTGAGAGAGAAAGATGCTGAGAGAGAGTGATGAAGAAAGAAAGAAAAATTGATGAGAGAGCCGGTAGTGAGGAAAGAGGAAAAGAGAGAAAAAGGAAAAGTATGTAACTAAATTCCTAATTCAAGGCACTAATAATGGATTGTATATAATTTGTAAGTAATCCTTGTTTAGGGTGAGTAATGTACAAAACAAAGACAATTTTGATAAATAAGTTTCAAATATTGTATAGGAAGGAAAAAATCGATGTTAAATATATCTCCATATCTGATTTACTCTTTTTCTAATTTTTATTTCAAGGTCCATTTACTACTAGTAATTTGCTTTGTGTTAGGAGTTAGGACAGCGAAGAGCACAAAGTTGAATCAATCATTTAACTATGTCTCAACCTCAAATTAGTTAGGTCAATCATAAAGTTCGGTTTATATATATCCATCTTATTTTATTCAAGTCTTACTCAAACGATACTACATAGTCAAACTACTGCACTATTGACCATCAACCTGTTTCAGCTTTTCTATCAAAATTTGATAGGGGTTTTTCTTGGAGAAACTCATATAGAGAGGTAGCTGAAGAGCTCGAGGTGGAATACTTCAAAACAGAGGAAAGCAAGTTACCCCAAACAAGAAATCCAATTAAAACATCAAATTTATTACAAACGCGGTAAACAACTGATCAATACACAAAACTGTTTCAGTAAAATATATCCATAAATTTATAGCAAAGAGGAAATAGCAACCGTTAGACGGCCGCATTAGGCTTAGTTATTTTTGTCAAAAAAAACCCCAGTGACACTTTGGCCCTATAAGATGGAGATGCAATCACCAAATACAAAATTTTAATTATGGGATGTCAAATATCAATAACCCTGGTCAACGAGGTAGTCTCCAATTTTCTCAACTACCATGTTACACTGTCCTGGAGTCACTGGCTCTTCATATATACCAAATATCAGAGCTTGGTTTGTTTTCTTGATGGTTATCCCACCAGATCCCTACACAAAAAAAGACTTTACAGTTAACTCAAAGGAAACAGATTGACAATATCGTCAGTAGTAGTAGTACAGTTAAACCTCTCTATAACAATCTCATTTTTTCGGATATTTTTTGGTTGTTATAGTGATAAAAACAGGTTCGAGAAATTTTTTACTTTTATAGTGAATGACTATTATATAAGTATGCTATTATATAGAGGTCTGACTGTACTCAAATTTAAACAGATCCAAAAGAGTGTTATGGGATATCTCATGGGGTCCAAGATAAGCAGATTGACAAAGAAACCTTGAAAGCATATTATAGATGCAACATTAATAAGAAAGCATATCAGCATTTCCACTTTAATGGAGGGTCCCTTAGGTAGGTTCATATGATCTTTATGCAGCTTATTAGTATTGTATGGTCATCCTTAGAAATAGTTGATGTTAGAATGATAAAAAGCTTAACACGTCTCATCGTTGTTACAGTTTTCATAACCTATGTTCTTTCCGAAAATGTCGCCGGGTGCGTGTTGAATCTTTCAAATATAGTATATTTTTGGAGGATCCGACACGGATGCAGCTGCATTTTAAAGAGTCCGCGCAACATAATTCATAACCGAGGAATAGAGAGCAGGAAAGTTCATTAAATATGCTCAGTTGCTTGATGTAAATTTTCAAGTCAATGTCACCAAATAAATGTACATGATTTAAACCTAAATACAATGTAACAGTAAAATTATGCTAGTATTTTGCAATATATAAAAGGATTTACAAATTACAACCCCTCGGAAAGATCATTAAAAGAAAGAATGTTGATACGAATTAAATGCAAGGATTAATGCACAACAACACAGTAATTATCCAGTGAGTTCCCATACGTGGGGTACGAGGAGGGTAGTGTGCAGTGGCGTAGTCACTCTATAAGTTAAATATTACTTTATATAGCTATAAATTATATTTTGAACACCCTTAACACAATGGAGTGATGCAGTCCAGCTATTTAGGGTATTCAAAGTGACGTGTTGTTCACACGTTCGAAGTTCTACCCATTTTATTTGCCAAAACTAAACGGAGACCACCATGTATGGTCTAATTGATTCTTTTTCAATCTAAAAAATTTCCTAATAAAATGACTCTCAAAACTAAAATTTCTGTTGAAATAAACAACTAATCTTAAAAGTAAATTTTAACTATATTTCTTAAATGAATTTTATAATTTAAAAGTCAAGTTCTACAAAAATGTCTTCAGCAAAAGCTCTATACAAATTACAAATTCTCTCGACTCTTTTTCCTTTGGTCTTATACTTACTTTTATTAGTAAAATTTCTAATGTTGTCTTTTTGTTATTTTAATTTTTATTTACAAAATTATAGTTCTATTAAAAGATTTTTTTTGTTGTTTAGTTAAATATTTCGTAGTTTGATCCAAAATTTTTGGTACACCTTTCACCGGCAAAAAACATTTATTGACTTGTTTAAAATATGAACACCCTTAACGAAATTCCTGACTATGCCACTAGTAGTGTGTACGCATACCTTACTCCTACACGAAGGCGGATCAAGGATTTTTATAACATGGGTGCACCACTAAAAAGAGGAGAGAAAAAGAAGTATTATGTTAGATTTGATCCCTGCTCCTCTAGGTAAATAACTCAACATCAACCAAGTGCACTATTTAGCATCTTTGGAGCATGTGTGCCAGCAGATAATATTAGACTAATTCTAAAAAATATGTACATAAAATACATAGTTTGGCGGGAAGATCATGGGTTCACGTGCCCCATGTATTTGTATATAAATCCGCCTCTGCCCCTACACTGGGAGCGCAGAGAGTGGGTGAAACAAGGATTAATACACAATTCTTCTGAAATGTGGCAAACATCTATTTCTAGAGGGTAAGAAATTTGATAATATCTAAAAGGTCAGGAGTTCTACAGCATAAGATTTAGCAGATTTGAAAATTAAAAAAAGAGTGAGTTACAGGAAAAAGAAAAAGAAAACCTTTTTCCCACGGATGACAGCGCCAGGTTCTCCTTGGATTACCATGTACTTTGCTCCACCAAGGAATAGCCCAGTGGGAGCTAGAAATCCAGGTTCATCAAAATCCTTCATGATATTCGTAATCTCCTCTGGTTTAAACTGAAAACACAAAACGCAGCACATAATACTCGTCAACAAGTTCATATGATGACAGAATGAACGTAATTTGGCATCGAGATTATGATATTAACTACAACAGTAATTTTCTATGGTTTGAACAGTTTCTCGTCATACATTATGCATTGCACTTGAGTAATTTGGATTGAAATTAAACATAACATACATTAGATTGCTTCTTAGGACACTATATAGTGTCAATATGGGGGACACACACGATAATATCATACGTAACAAACAAACTTTTCTTATATACATACTACATTAATTTTCGTGAATGTCGATTGATACCAAATAATCATAGATCAAAACTCATGAAATTTTACACAAATAACAAATTATGTACACCATAAAAAACAGATCTAATTGAACGAATGAAAGAAAAGCACAAAAAGTATACTTTCCGATAAATCATTTGCTTCAGACATCTAGGGACAACAGAGATAAAATTAGAACGATACAGAGAGAAATGTGAAACGAACAGATCCTTAAGACAAGGTTTTATTAGAAAGAACCTTAGGGAAGGCGGGGCTTTGAGCCCAAACGCTACCATCATGTCCGAGAATAGCCGCGGCGGCAAGGTGCTGGCCTTGGCCGTCAAAGTCGACCATCAAGTGATCGTCCACGTAGGTTTGCCACGACATATTTTCAAGAATGTTGTTGTGTTTTTCTAGTCCCTTTGTTCTTGATCTTCAGAACAATATTTAATTCAGGCTTTGGTTGTTTCAAAGTTCAATGGTGCAATCGTGGAACGAAGAGTATAAATAGGACTGACTTGTTCGGAAAGTTGGGAACGCCAAAGTGTTGGTTTGAGGAAGAGAGAATGATGCGGGGAGTAACAAACACACAGGCGGATCTTAATTTTTTAGATGATATGAATACACATAAAAAAAAATTATATACTTATTTAGGGTTTACATTTGAGGTAGTAGATATATCGTGTATTCGCTAATTAATATTTTCGATCCATCTAAGATTCGAAGTATAATATAAATGGACCTGCTTTTCAACTGTCCATGGATGGAGTAAGGTAACAAAATCTTTTCTACTTTTGGTTCCAAATAATTGTCTAATTTAATATTTATATATGAATGTAGAAAATATAAAATGAGGATATCATATTTTTTATGCTAGGAAAGTAAATATTATAAACAACTAAAGCATAGTGCCAGGGACAAGCCTACAGGCATGCTTTACATATTCTCAACAAGTATTGTACAAAATATACATCAACAACAAAAGGTTAAAATGGCATGGCATAGTCGTTTTTACGGATGATTATTGAAGAAAGCGGCTTAGTTGAAACTAGTGGAAAGCACAAACGAGGAGGAAAAGAGGACGAATTTGGAATGTTATAAGAAGGCAAAGAAAGAAGCGAAGTTAGCAGTTACGGCGGCCAAGACTGCTGCCTTTGGACGCATGTATGCGGAACTTGGGAGCAAAGGCGGGGACAATAAGTTGTACAGGTTAGCCAAAGTGAGAGAGAGGAAGGCTCGTGACTTGGACTACGTGAAGTGCATCAAAGACGAGGACGACATACTATTGATGGAAGACACCCATATTAGACGAAGATTACAGACATACTTCCACAGACTGTTGAACGAGGAGGGGGACAGAAGCATTGTGCTGGGTGATTTGGAGCACTCTGAGAGTTTGTGCGATTTTGGCTATTGTAGGCGTATTAAGGTCGAAGAGGTTATGGGAGTGATGCATAAGATGAGCAGCGGAAGAGTGACTGGGCCAGACGAGATCCCCGTAGATTTCTGGAAGAGTGCGGACTGTGCAGGCGTGGAGTGGCTTACTGGGTTGTTTAATGTTATCTTTAAGATAAAGAAGATGTGGAGTACGATGATTCCCTTATACAACAATGGCGATATCCAAAACTGCAATAACTATAAGGGTATCTCAAGCTGATGAGTCATACTATGAAAATTTGGGAGAGGGTGGTGGAAGTCAGGGTGAGGAAGAGTGTGTCTATTTCCAAGAATCAGTTTGGATTCATGCTAGGGTGATCGACTATGGAAGCCATTCATCTGGTGAGGAGACTGGTATAGTAGTATATGGAGAGAAAGAAGGACCTACACATGGTATTTATAGACCTAGAAAAGGCATATGATAAAGTCCCGAGGGAGGTTCTATGGATATGTTTGGAGGTTAGCAGCGTTCCGGTAGCATACACAAGGGTAATCAAGGACATGTATGATGGTGCTAAGACTTGGGTGAGGACAAGGGGAGGTGACTCAGATCACTTTTCAGTAGTGATGGGGTTGCACCAGGGATCGACTCTTACCCGTTCTTATTTGCTCTGGCGATGGATGCGCTGAAGCGGTATATTCAAGGGAAGGTGCCATGGTGCATGTTATTTGCCGATGACATAGTGCTGAATGATGAGACGAGGAGCGGGGTCAATGCGAGGTTAGAGGTCTTGAGAAAGACCCTAGAGTCCAAAGGTTTCAAGTTGAGCCGGACCAAAACGAAATAGTTGGAGTGTAAGTTCAGTGACGAGACTTGATGTGAAGTTTGATACCCAAGTCATCCCGATGAGGGGTAGTTTCAAGTATCTCGGGTCTAAAATCCAGGGTAACAGGGAGATTGATTATGAGGTCTCCCACCGTATCGGTGCGGGGTGGATGAAATAGAGGCTCGCATCCGGTGTTTTGTGTGATAAGAATGTGCCACCAAGACTTAAGGGTAAGTTCTACAGAGTGGTGGTTAGACCTACTATGTTGTATGGGGCTGAGTGTTGGCCAGTCAAGACTCCCATGTTCAGAGGATGAAGTAGCAGAAATGAGGATGCTGAGATGTATGTGTGGGCATACCAGCAGAGATAAGATTAGGAACAAAGTTATTCAGGAAAAAGTGAGAGTGGCCCCCGTGGAGGACAAGATGCGAGAGTTGAGGCTGAGATGGTTCGGGCACGTGCAAAGGAGGAGTACAGATGCTCCTGTTAGGAGGTGTGAGAGGCTGAGAAGGGATAGAGGAAGGACGAAGAAGTATTGGGGAGAGGTAATTAGGCAGGATATGACGCTACTTCAGCTCATTGAGGACATAACCTAGGACAGAAGGGTGTGGAGGTCGAAGATTAGTGTAACGACCCAACTGGTCGTTTTGAGAAATTGCGTCCGATTCGGCAGTTTGAGGTCACCAGTAGCTTTACACAGTGTTATATGACTTGTGTTCATCAGTGGTTCGGGTTTTTGAGAAGTTCGGGAAGGATTTTTAGAAGTGACTTTCATTTGGGAAGCTTGAAGTTGAAAGAATTGACCAAGGAGTTGAATATTGAGTATTTAACCTCGGATTGGAGTTTTGATGATTCCGATAGGGTTGGGTGGTGATTTTGGACTTAGGCGTACGTCCGGATTTGATTTGGAGGTCCGTAGGGTAATTTGAAGCATTTTGGCGAAAATTGGAAAGTTGAAGTTTTGGAAAATGGAGAAGTGTGACCCATAGTTGACTTTTGTGATATCGGAGTCAAAATGCGATTCCAAGAGTTGGAACAACTCCGTTATGTCATTTGGACTTGTCTGCAAAATTTGGCGTCATTCCGGGTTGGTTTGATAGGTTTCGGCACGAGTTTTAGAAGTTGGAAGATTGGAAAGTTCATAAGTTCGACTCATGGTGTGATTCGTCGTTTCGGCGTTGTTTGATGTGATTTGAGACCTCGAGCGAGTCCGTGTTAGGTTATAGGACTTGTTTGGGTGTTTAGGCGGGGTCCCAGGGGCCTCGGGTGTGTTCCAGGTGGGCTACGGGTCATTTTACCTTATTTTTGAATTGCTGTTTGTTGTCTTCTGGTATCCTTCTTCGCGATCGCGAAGAGTCCCTCGTGTTCGCCAAGTGTTTCTGTTGACTACCTCGAAACCCTTCATCGCGTTCACGATTATCCTCCCGCGTTCGCGCAGGCCTCGTTTCTTGTTCTTCGCGTTCACACTCTTTCCCTCGCGTTTGCGAAGGGTTCTTTCTGGACAGCCTCACTTTCCTCTTCGCGTTCGTGAGCCTTCTGCCGCGTTTGCAAAGCACAACTTGGCAGCTTCCACTCTTCTTCTTCGTGAACGCGATCCTTTCTCCGCGTCCGCGATGCACAAAGGCCTGGGCAGAATATATATCTTCTAAATCGAGGGTTAGGCCATTTTTATCATATTTTGACTTGTAGAGCTCGGTTTTGAGTGATTCTTTGTGGGGTTTTCAAGAAATTCGATTGGGTAAGTGTTCTCCACCTAGTATTTAATGTATTTCATGATTTTATCTTCATTTTTATCATTTAGTTTGTGCTTTGGGTTGAGGAAAATGTTGGTTTTTGAAGAAAATTTCTAAAATGAAAAATCATGATTTGAGGGACCAAATGGTATTGGAATTTGATAAATTTTGTATGGTTGAACTTGTACCGGAACGGGTATTCGGTTTTTGTAAAATTTGTCGGGTTTCAAGGTGCGGGATCGGGGGTCGACTTTTGGACCGATATTTAGAATTTGATAAAGATTGAGGCTTTATGATCCGAAATAGTTTCTTATGTGTTCTATTTGTGCTTTGAAGTTATTTTGGTTAGATTTGAGCCGTCCGGAGGTCATTCCACCCGAGAAGTTCATTTTAGAGTATCAGTTTGCATTTTTTGATGTAAATCTCATGCCTAAACTTTTGTGTGGGATTTCCCCTTAGGATTTGAGTCTCCTATGCTAAATGTAGTCCGTGTACGCGAAGTGACGAGTGCGCGCTCAGACTTATTTGTGGAAAATTTGCCTTTTAGGGTTCTTAGGTCCTTGAATTCACTAAGTAGGAAGTTATTCTGATATGATTGAGTTTCCTATTTGCTAGTTTCACCTCTACATGCTATATGATGTTATTAGCACTTCTTACCTCTTATTTGTTATTTGGCCCTTATTTGCCTTAATTGAAGTGATTGCCTTCCTTATTGTTTTTGTCACTCCTTAATTGTAAGTTCCTCTATGACTTTGTGCATATATGCTACATGTCCAAATTATTGTGGTTGCCTGTGTAGTTATCACGTGCCTTACATGTCTTGTTGTTTTTGTAAAGGTTGTTGTATTCCTTTAATTTTTACATGATTCTCTTCTTGCCGTGTACTCATACTTTTGGTGGTAGAAATTCTTGTAATTGAGTTGTTGATTTGTTGTTGTTGATTTAAATTATGTACGGTGGGATCGGGTTGCACGCCGCAACAGGAGGAATAAGGGTGATATATTAAGGAGGAATAAGGGTGAATTGATGTATGGTGGGATCGGGTTGCATGCCGCAACAGGAGGAATAAGGGTGATATATTGAGGAGGAATAAGGGTGAATTAATATTATATGGTGGGATCAGGTTTTGCCGCAACATATTATGTTAATTATTATGATATTGATATTGTACGGTAGGATCGGGTTGCACGCCGCAACAGGAGGAATAAGGGTGATATATTGAGGAGGAATAAGGGTGAATTGATATTGTATGGTAGGATCGGATTTTGCGCCGCAACATACTTTGTATTTTGGTATCCCCTGTTTTACTGCATTTACTTTAGTTCCTTTGTGCAAGACTTTGATAATTTGTATTTCTTGTTTTCACTGAGCTTTGAGGATCGAGTTATGGTCATTGATTTATTGACCTGCCGTTATTTCCTGAGTGCTTTTTCTAATACTATTATTCTGGTGAATTAATTTAGAAAGTAAAATTTACTATGTTGAGTCATTTCCTCCTGCCTTGCTGAGTGGTTAGTAATATAGTGATTTAAAATAAATGAATTAATATCATGTTACCTTGTATGACTTTTAAATTAGAACTCGCCGTACATATTCAATATTGCAAATTCTAATAATTTATATTTTATTTCAATTGGTTTCTCAACTAAACTTTCTTAACCATCTGAGGTTGTATTTTACTTAAAAAGGAATTGCTAATAAGTTTTAATTTAATAAATCCTATATTAAAGGCAATAGCTTATTCTACATTGTATTTTTTTATTATTATTTAAAAAAGGTATTTTCTTTACTCAAATGATTTCCAAAAGTAGCTTCATCTTTTTTCGCTGATTTCCTATTGGGTCTAGAAACTGTAAAACTACCTTATGTATATAAATGGAACCTCTTGAATATTTTAAATGTGCGTTTGTTACGGATATTATGTACTGAGTAGCACGTGGATTCTGTCGTGCAAAGTGAGGTGAAAATATGTGGGCACCAGGTGCCATGTGTGTTAAAGGTTTGGAAGTTGTGCATTTTGATATGAGGATATAAGTATTAGGATGGTTGGAATTTGTGTATTAGAAACGATGTGATTGGTTGAGTTAATATCGCTTTCCCTTATTTGAACACATTTTACTTGTCTGTATCCCAACTGTGTTGGTGTAGAATTACTGGCTATTTTCGTTACCATCCGTGTTTTCCCCTTTATCGTCTCTATTGTTGTAATTTGATTTCTCCCTGATATTGGCATTACGTTATCTTTATCCTGTTAGTTTATTATCATATCCTGTTCAATTTATTAGACCAGCAGGTGTCTTGACTGTTCCTCGTTACTACTCCACCGATGTTAGTCTTGATACTTACTGGGCACCGCTGTGGTGTACTCATACTACACTTCTGTATATTTTTGTACAGATCCAGGTATTTCATCATTAGTAGCTGTGCGGATCATCGCTGTGGAGACTCAAGTAAACCTGCTACTACGTTCGCAGGCCTCAGAGTCACCTTCTGTTGTATTTATTTTCATTGTTTCCTTTTGTTCTGGAATAGTGATGTATTCAATATGTACAACTACTCCTAGAAAGATTTATGACTTGTACTACCGGTTTTGGGATTATAAATTGTTTAGAGATTTCTATTTCAGAATTGTTCGAAGTTAGTAAATATTATCGTTATTTCTGTTAATGTTAGGCTTACCTAGCCTTAGAGACTAGGTGCCATCATGACTCCTTCGGAGGGATTTTGCGTCGTGACAATTAGGGTTGTTGACTAATAGGTAGTCGAGAGTTCCCCGTTCGTTTTTAATAGTATTAGTAGCTCCCTTGTTTTTTTCGTATTCTTTGACTCCTAGTATTTGCTTATTGTTTCGTTCGCTCTGGGTATCGTATTTTCCAGTTTGTTACTATTTGATGCTATTGTTCATTTACTTGTTGTTCCGTTGTTGTTGTTATTGTTGTTACTGTATGTTTAACCAAAAATTAGATTTTAGGTCAAAGTTCGAATTTAGAAGAACTCGGGTTACTGATAATCGAAAAAGTGTGTAAGAAAGAAATTTTGAATGATATAATCAGAAAGCAAATAAAACAAAGTATATTCCAATAGTGTTTTTCGTGTGTCCTACAGATGTTGTGACTTCCTCTTTTTATAGTTAATTTTTAAGAGAAAGTGTAATGCCTTTGCTTTAATGAGGCAATTACGAGCAATAAATGATATTGAAGGAAACGTTACTCAATCATTCATATTAAATACAAATTCTCTAACGTATTTGGCATTTAATGCTAAATTTGGACTCTTTTTCGCTATCAGATTCATGTCTTCAATTCCTTCTGATCTTCGAACTTTAAATGACTCGAACAAGTACGAGTCTAGTTTAATTTGAATAATAGTTCGTGCCTTTAAGTATCTTCTCTCCCGCGTCTGTTGTTGCTCGTGTCTTCTAACTGATTACCACGTTTTGACTATTTGACCGGTCCACGTGTCATGACACGTCACCTTCAATATTTAAATTCAGTTTTTTCCCAATACAGATAGTCCCCCCACTTTCCATTTATTTATCAATTAAATATTTGGGAAGTGGATCTTTCATTAAAAAGGGAATTTTGGCCATAATCAATGCTATGAAGTACTAACGCTTCAGTTGTCTTTTCTATTTAATGCATTGCATACGTGTCATCCTCTCATTAGCTTTGCAATTTTTGCAGCCTTTTTCCAAGGCTTCTTCAACTCCTCCATTCACGAAGTGATAGTTGCCTTTATTATAGGCTTTCCATCATTACACTTTTTAGTCTTTGACGGTCAGTTTTATATAAACTTAACCCTTCTTCCACAAATTTTTACCACAGTCGCCCATCAGTATAAATTCAATTTTTCCTTTCACCTTTTACCACATAAAACTTTTTCCTTGAACGCTCGAATTGTGCGAATCTCTGTTTACTTCTTTCTCTTCTTCATCATGTCTTCTTCGAACCCTAACCCTAAGAGAGTTCCTATCTTAGACAATTTTCCCAATGCTCCTGTCAGACATAGAAGAGGTGGGAGACTTCGTAGTTTAGGATCCTCTCGTGGTGGTGGTTCTGCCATGCCTTCTCCTAGCCCTGGTTCTTCCTCTAGAACTAGAGGTTCTTTTTCTCAAAAATCATCTTCTAAGAGCAAGGAGGCCTCTGAACCAATGAAGGAACCCTTGGTAGAAGAAATAGTTCCTAACGATTTATCTTTTCAGCATGATAGACAATCACTTCAGACCCAAATTTCTGGTTTAGATCGAGTTGATGTTTATCCCACTATGATTACAGAGATTTTAGCTCCCATAGTTCGCAAAGATTGTTACTGGAGTAATGATTTTCCCATTGTAATCCCCAATCCAAATCAGAGGATTACTTCATATATGACTGGATTCTCTTTCGTTTACACATACCCTTTTACTCTTGGGTTTAAACCAGCTATTGACCCAGTAATTCTCGATTTCTGTCGTTTTTTCAAAGTTTGTCTAGCACAGGTTGGCCCGCTTGTATGGAGGGCTGTTGCTTGTTTAAGGCATTTGGCCAATTTAGCAAACGTTGATTTCTCCTTCTCTCACCTAATTCATCTATACTCCTTTAGACTTTTCCGTAATGGAGTTTTTACCTTAGTGGCTAGGAGTAAGAGAGTTTTGGTAAGCCCAGAAGATGATAAGGATCATGGCTGGTATGCCCATTTTGTTGCTGCTCCCACATTTGGTTTAGTGGGTGAACAAAACTTTCCCTTCCCTGAGAAGTGGAATTTTGCACGTAAGTCTTTCATCTTTCCCATACCTCTTTCTTTTGAGTTTACAAATTTCTTTAACTTTGTTTCTCTTCTTTTTTTTTCTTTAGCAACCATGGGAGTTGTGGAGAACATTCCCAATTTTCGTGGTTGGGTAGATAAATTGTTGAAGATTGCTCCTATGGAGGCTAGGT